ATCTTTAGTGACACCAGTCCTGGAACTTTTCTGACACCTCGTACAGCTCAGGTTAAACCGACTGATTCAAGGACTTTTCTTTTCCCAAAAAATAACTTCAGCATGAGGTTGAGATGTGAGGTGAGCGCTGGTGAGTTAGGAGCTGATGGAACCAGCTCAGTGTTTGCATTCAGATTTGTGCTCAGCGCTGTGTTTCATACTTTAGTGTACGAATGTTGGGCGACACCCTCCGACGTCTCACATCCAGGTTTGTCTCTGAGCTTACGTCTCAGCTGCCGTTGTCCGTTTCCACCTTTATAACACTGCTGACGTTATTCTAAACACACTGCCCTCATTTCTCATGACACTCGGTACGAAATGCCTCCCACTAACCCTTTAACCCGGTTAGCGGTGTGTGTTGCACAGACGGACTCACGAGGTGCGAAAACACAGCCGCAGTGATGAAACCTTTTTCAAACACAAACAAGATCAGAACTTCTTCCATGACGCTGCACACAGAGCAGCTTGTCTTCCCTCTACAACACAGCTGCACTTCCTCATCAGTGTCCACAAACTAAATCATTACATCATGAGCAATAAAACCTGAGAAGGACTTCACCTGAATCGTCCAGTAACCCAGAGGTCATGTGTCTGAACTAACCCGTGCACTAGTAAATATTTGGCTTTTGGGTGAACTCGGGTTCCGTCCTGCTGTTTGTAGTTTGTAGAGCTTCACATAAAACCTCCAAACTGCTGTTATTTGCAGAAAACACGTGAGACAACATTTGACTTCTAACTAACTGCTTATTATTTCTCACGCAACAAGAATCCCGTCAGGATATCTGATGTGCAGGAAGTACTCAGATCCGATCACCTTCTGCACAAAACGCTGTGTGATTAGTGGCACAGCTGCTGCAGTTAAGAAGCTGTAAAAAAAAATAACGCATAAAAACTGACAAAAAGCTGCTAAACTGTGCATTTACAGTTGAAACCAGAAGTTTACATCCACCGTATAAAAAGACACACAACCTGTTTTTCTCTCTCACTGTCTGACATTAAACGCGACTGAACTTTTAAATAAAATTTCACTCACTCATTTCATTCACACAATAATCTACAAATAGGAAGATATGTTTTATAGAATGTGTAATAACGTTGCACGCTCTTATTTCCTTTTTTGCGTAGCGCCGTTTGTTTGTTGCACACTGGGACAAGTTGACACCACATCATGTTACTGGTATTGCAGTAGTTTTGGTGAATAAGTCGTGAAAACCGCATAAAAACTGAGTTGTATTTATAGTTTTGCTGCACAAAAAGCTTGTTTTTCTGATGTCAGACTCTTTAACTGTCAGTTAAATCCACTAACTCAAAGGGTTTCTTCTTTATTTTTACTATTTTCTACAGTAAAGAGCTTAACTGGCATCACAAATATGAAGCATTACTTATTTAATTATGTAATAACTACAAAAAAACAAAGACGAAGCAAGACAGACCGACAACAGTGTTAAAGGCGCCATCGAGGCAAACAGAAGGACCTAAAATCTAAAACATATTCTGCTTTGTTGGCACTTCTGTTCTCAAACCCACACAAAAAGTGCTGCTGCATTATTTTCTAAGAACGGAGGAAGCAGCTAAAGCCACCGTCGTCGTCTTTCTTCTGTCGCAGATGGTTTGGACACGTTGGTGTGCCGACTGAGAAACTGAAGGCATCAGAGTGAAGACGCTCGAACATGAATCAAACAATCGCACCTCCTTTTATTAAAGCCCAGGAACCGAAAGGGGAGAAAGACATTTATTAACAGGCCACTCACCTCAACTTTGTCCACTGCAGCCTGCCCAGTTTGCTGCAGAACACAAGCACAACGCTGTTAGATTTCATAGAGATAGATAGATAGATAGATAGATAGATAGATAGATAGATAGATAGATAGATAGATAGATAGATAGATAGTTAACCTTCTTAACTCCAAGCAGTGTCTGGATGGTTTTTTTTTTCCTCACTATGAGATAATTTTTCACCACAATTTGAAGCCTCACACTTTAGTTAAAATGCCATAAATCACTAATTAATGAAAAGTTCAAGTTTTTTTAAATTATTTATTTTAGAAAAACTGAAACAGGTGTCACCAACACCTCTGTTACTTCTGGATAAAACTACAACTCTACACACCAGAAAGATTTTGCTGTGGACCGTCTAAAACCTCCGTTCTTAACTCTACTCTGCACATCATCTCCTAGTGGTTCACCACGCAGCAACTTGCTCCTCTGTTTGTAATATTTTAATCATGCTGCATTCATCGTAATGATCCGGTTTGGTTTAATCTCCTCTCTGGCTCCTATCTGTTCTGTTGAAACACTGCCAAGCACTCAGTTGTGGCCTCTCAGATGCTTTGAGGAGCCACAATTGTTGTATTTGCTTCAAGAATCTGGTGCCAGCGCTTTATTTTTGGTGAATTTTTATATTGGTTTTAATCAAATATCACGATTTCATTCTTGGATTTGGTAAACTTTCCAAACAAAACCACACACGATACGTTCTAGAAGAGCTGAAAGCTTAAAATCCAATTGTGTTTTTCCACTTGCTGGCTCTGATAAATGACGTAATTTTGGCATTTCTTTAAAGCGATAACGTGCTTTTGAGGGTTTTTGGGGTTCAGCGGGTTAAATCCTGCAGTTTTAGGATCTCTGTGCATCAAAAGCTCAACTGAATTTGATGCTAAGAGGTGATCTTTTAGAAATTCAGACACCGCAGACGAGCAGCAAACATGTCAAAACGCAGACGTGTGCAGCTTCTAGTCTTACATGGAGGAATAATGCAGCAGAGCAGCTTTATTTTTCTTGTGTGTGACTCTAACCTAACCTTCAGTCTAGTAATTTTCACTGTGTTTTCTGCAGGAAGTCGTAACAAAACCCCTGATAAGGAACAAAAACTAGGGCTTTACTGAAGAGCTCTGGGTTTCTGGACAGCTGCTCTCCAGAACATCTATGAAAAACGTGAAATGTTTGACTTCAAATCCAACTGGTTTGGATATACGTGGACTTTATCTCTAAATCTGACAAGTTTGGATGTTTTTCAGTCAGAACTTTTCAGCTCTGTTGTCCAAAGAGCTCACAACTGACAGAAGTTTGAACTTTGCTCAACAAGGCGGGAGGTTGTTGTGGCTCAGAGGTCAGACAGACAATGACACTGAATTCCAACATGCAGAACGGTTAAAAAAAGAGACTTTAAAGCACCGTATAAAGACAGAAACTGGTAGACTGTGAGGGGACACACCTGGCACTGGCTGGTGTACGGTTCGGCCCACTTCCTCAGCGACGACACGCTCTGCTCCAGCGCTCCTGCCTCCGGCTCCACGTACCGAGCCTCCGACTCAGGAGTCGTGTACAGAGACGGCAGCTGAAACAAACGACAAACGAAGCATAAAAACCTGAGAGCTCTGTGAGGCTCATTCAGCGCTGTCACACAAAACAAGCCATTTTAAAGAGATTTAAAGTCGTTCATGTTGTTGTTTTGCATCATGCTGGAGTCGCTTTGTGTCTCTCTGTGATTGTTTTGTGTCTCTCTGTAGCCAGTTTGTGTGTCTTTGTGATTCTTTAGCTTCTTTCTGTCGCACCAAACTGTTGTCGTTTCATATCTTTGTGTTTCAGTTTGTGGTTGTTTTGAGCCTTTCTGTGGTTATTTGATGTTTCTTTCTGGTCAGTTATGTAGCTTAGAGGTTGTTTCA